GCTTTGAGACGACCTACGAACTAGGTTGTAATAAAACGGTATATACGAACCTCGAGTTATTATCATTCATCACTAAGAGATTCATTTTATTATGTTTACTGCGTGAGCACTTCTGTCGTAACATAATAAAGAATGAGTCACGATGAAATGATATTAACCATAGTTACAGTGTGATTTACGCGTGTCAAAACATAGTGTAGGACGAGCCGCTGTGAGATGTCTGTTGTTATGCTTACAGTACGAGTGGTGCGCAGGTTAAACCAACAACATTAAGAGATATAGGAACAATGGCGGCTGCTCTGTCAAAAAACATCCTTGACACAATTCTAGATGTAAGTATACTTTTTTGCCCTTCATAATGTAGATGCGAATAGCTTGTCTGAAACAAAACATCTAGTTTGACAATAAAATTGGTTTACCGCTTGAAAAATAAAAGACATCAATTTCCATAATGTTCAGAATGTGTTTGTATCGGAATATTGATATTACATTGTACATGAAAAGTAACTATCTGAATGAAATTTATACTTGTAATAAAAATTGAAATGTACATTATGTGTCATGATTGCATACATCATTGATAGACACTGTTGTTTTTCGCGAATGTTGCCCAGTGGTTGGAAAAGGTGTACGCATTCTTGCATAGTTTTAATAGATATAAAAATAAAGCAACATTATGTCTCTTTGCTAAATATCAGTATGTCTGTCTGTAAATAATTCGGCCACTTGTTATCTTGGCATTTCAAGAGGGTTTGTTTCAGCACAGATTGGAAAACTCTCACACAACTATTTTTCATTTCTAAAAATTAACACACATGTTTCTTATTCTTTTAATAGCTTTATAAAATTTACTCAAATGAAAATATAAAAGAATCAAAATAAATTGAGACCAAGATATTTTTGCATCCCCTAATAAACCTATTTTCTAGGAAACTATGGCTGAAAGTGTTCCTTTTTCTATGGAAGCGATTAAGGAAAAGAGAACATCACAAGATATAAGAAAAAAAGCGGGATTCAAAAACGATATCAATGAGGATGAACAAAAAAAGTTCGATGAACAAGAAAAATATTTCAAGGAAAAAGGTGCGACTGCCTTAGAGAGAACCACTGTAGCCCCTAGCAGCAGAAAGAGGAGATCGACAGGTACATACATTTACTTCGACTGTGTAATATTAAATATGCTTAACATTGAAACGCAATACGAAAAAATAATTGAAAAATGAAAAAGAAAGTACAATATTGATTTCCTATTCAAGTACCAAAATTTGTTCTTATGTTTTGTGTATTATTGACAAACCTGACAAGTAATGTTTTGACTTATCAAATTGTACCTACAGCCTCCCTGACATGTACGGTTATGCACTTGCTTGGTACTACTGGACTTTCTGCACTGACCACTACCCAGATTTCCAACTTAGCTGACCATGAGTTTGTCGATTGTGCTGAGACCCTAGGGTCGGTCACTGACTACAGTACCGCCCAAAAGGACGCACTCTTGGTCGTAGCTACCCGAGCAACGGTAGTGTCAAAACACTTTTATGTGGATTTGTTACTATCATATATAACCTAAACTTGTGTGGCATCTCTTAATTTAAGCACTATGGTGTTTGCATGATGACAATACATATAATACAATGTTATAATAACATTACATGTAGTGAATATTCTCTGTCACAATGATTTGTCATAATGTGAGCTTTTAATCGTGACGTCAAAGAGGACACATGTTTCAAGATGGTATCATTGATCTTAATGCATCTCATTATATGATTACATGATGTTTCTTACACGTGGAACCTCCTGTTAATCTAGGTGTGGGGTGACCCGTCCTCCTGGCTCACTACTGACATATACAGCTCCGGTGTGATATGTCAGGCCATGACCGAGGTCCAGATCGCCACCCTCAACCTTGATCTGGATACTGTCAGTCGTCTCGGACAGTTTAATGGCTGGGACACGCTCAAGGTTGGTTACAACTTCTCTACTGGAAACATCAGTCTTGATCAAAAGGACCAGACCTGAAGGCAACGTATAATAAATAAATAAGTATCAAACATACATAACCTTTAACAGAGTATATATCTTTATTTCGTTTATCATTTATTTTATATGGCCGTCCTTCCATATCTTGATGAAAATCGGTACTTATTGTCCAAACATTTGCAGTCCATATTTTGTATTTTTTTGTTTATTTTTTCAAGTGAAAGTCTGTTTGTAGGTATCTACCTTCTGCTAACCCGTTAGCGTAGTAACATATTCTTCATTATGTTATGGAGAATATTTCTATACGTCTGTCCATTAATTCCTACATTGGACCCCACTATCTTTCATGCTGTTCTTTCAATCACTAAGCAATAAACAGTGAGTTTAAGAACATACTATCTAGTACGTGAGATAATGCGCCTACCCTTTTACTAAATATTTTGACGTTTTTGAAATTATATTTGTTAAGAAAAAATCAGTATTTGCCCGATGGTTGAATCTACACAAGTCCGGAGACAGTAGCACGATAACTGCCAGTGAGCTGCGGTCGCTTGGACACATCACGTGTGGAGCTGAGACCAGTCACATCAACAATATACCGATATCTGTCTACCAGTACGTACTATAAAAAAAACCACCCACACACAATAATGTAAAGCAACAAAATCTTTTGGAATAAATTACAAAATCTCAACTTCATGTGGATTTCTAATTTCCGCAAAAATATCAATATCCTGATCCGCTCCACATCGAGCACTGTGTATTCTATAACAATGTTTCTAGTATATGGTAGTGACCGTGACCTTTACACTTGATTTACATGTTAGTTATCATGGCCTCTAAATCTTACTTACTACTATCATTTTTGCAACGTGCAGACTCCATGATGACACACACACAATAATGTTTGAGTGACTTATATCAGAATTGACACAATACCTAATCATAGTAGATGGACAGATTAGGAAGTTGAGACTCTAAAGATATTTGATAATTGATAACATAGTGAATTATACAGTCTTTTAAAAATTTAAAATATTATAAACGTATTAATATGATATTAATGGTAATTAATAAACAATGTGTTGCACTACTCTGTGGAAACTGCGTTATTGTTTGGCTATATATACAAAATGTAAGCAGGTGTTTCATGATAAACTAAGTGACTTCGCTTACATTTTATAAGACATTTTCAGGCAGGTTAAAATAAGAAGGTTTATGTTTATATCGACAGGGGCGCAGTGGATTCCATTGGAGAACTGACAAGTTGTGAGATCAGTCAACTCCAGGCGTTTGCAAGCCTTGCTAAAACTGCTTATGGGAGTGCCATCTCGACATGGGATTCGACAGTGATTACCAACGTCGGAACAAGCATAGGTTATTAATCAAGTCAAAATGTCTTACAACTGTTATGTATATAATCGTTTGAGAACGATAGATTGTTAATTTTGTAATGCTTTATTCTCCTAGGTTTTTTCAATTTTAATCGAACTACCGTTTTTTTACAAAATGAAATCGCCCTCTTTCTGTTTATAATAAGCATAGCATTCATTAGTAAAGGTTACGAACAAATCTGTTAAATAAATGTATAGCAGTACACTGTATATAGTGACTGATATTGTACGACATTTCTTCAATGACAGGTGGACTGAGTGCAAGTGAGATCAGCAGCTTGACAGCGTCCCAGATTGATGCTGTGGATCCCAACCACATTTCGTACATTCCCAACGCTATTTTTTCGGTAATTTATCTCTGTTATCATTATAGTCAATAAGCTTGCCAACCTTATTAAAATAGGTTCGCGACAGGCAGGGCAACCAGGCTGGTAGTTGGCAATAAAAGCAACTTACTCGACTCGGTATTATGGCAAATATAACTTGATTCAAATAGACACGATTCTGGATGAATACGCAAAGGAGTTAATTATGAAAACTTACCCCAACGATCAAAATAACTTACTATCCAATTTTTTTCAAGACATTATATAATGATGTGTATTTTCGTTTTTACTATATAAATTAAACGTCCAAATATATTCATGTTTTAAATGACATGTTCATAACAACTACGTAAGGCATCCGTAAGCTGTTCTGCTTCTTAATATTAAAGGGTTTCACGGTTAGCCAGATCAACACATTGTAATATTACAGGGTTTAACGGTTAGCCAGATCAACACATTGTAATAATACAGGGTTTCAAGGTTAGCTAGATCAACACATTGCAATATTACAGGGTTTCACGGCTAGCCAGATCAACACATTCAGTCCGTCGCAGGCTCAGTCCACCACCACGAGCCAGAGGGCAGCACTGACGTCATCCCAACTCAACGCTTTATCTACAGTAGCATCCATTACATGGGTCAGCGCAGGTATGTAGCTCGATTTGACCAATTCAGTTGTGACGCATATAGAGTCAGAAATGCCCGGGACACCATATAACTGGTATTATCTAGTCTTTGTAGTTTTTTTTCTATCATGATGGTGTTTACATTCGAAGGTAAACCATTTTGTTTATCACTTTTAGTTCATATATGTATTTATGAACAATTAGTACAGTTGGATTATATGTTTACGCTTTGTAAAAAAAGTATTTTCGTGACAAATTATAATATCTGTTAGGTCTCGATGAATACCAGACGTATTTCATCGCATGGAGTAAATGTGTTAAAATGTTACTAAGTGTTGGCTAAAGTAGAAAACATATCCATCCCACGCGTCGACAACTAGTTCCCCGCTTTTCGTCCGATTCGCCGTGATCAGTATGACTTTTAAGTGAAGCCATCATCATATACATTTGCGCCAGTGAAACAATCCATCCTACATTTTATTTGTATCCATCCCTTCTATGTGAAGTTAATGCCAATTATCACTTTGATTATTAGCTTCTTGATCGAAAAACAAGGTTTTCTTAAGGTTCACAAGAATTCTATTTGAGTTAAAGAGGTACATTTTAATGAAAAATATTGAGGAAGTATTGATAAATGTATCGGGGAGATTTTAAAAAACCAAATGGGAAAATTTTCAAAACACACCAGGGAGTGTTTCTAAAACTATCTAGAGGAAGGTTTATCTAAATGTTCGAAAAAGATATGTAAACGTATAAGGCAAAGTTAGGCTTTATAAAAGTATCCATGGAAGGATAAATAAATGTATCGGAGAAGGATTCATAGAAGTACATTGAGGAAGGATTGATAAAAACCTCTAAAAAAAGATTTATAAAAACTTCAGGGGAAGGATTCATAAAACAAATCAGGGGAAGGATTCATAAA